TTAATATTCACAGACACTAGTCCATATCGCGTTTTGATTCAAGTGTACTGACCTACTTTTGATTTATTCGTCCAAAATGTGGCATATTCCGTCGGCGTTAGGCTATAGGACTTCCGTTTTTACGACTGGATTCTACGAACCAGTCCATGTTTTCCGCATCGCGGCCGTATGTCTCATATTTTTTATGCAAAGATTTGATTTCAAAAACAGTATCATAGCTATTAAACTATGTCTTATTATGATTTTAAATCTGTGTTAAACCTCAGAACGATCTCAAAGTAAAGATCATGTTCTATTCTGTAATGTTGATAGAATAAAAAGGTTGTATATTATGCATGCAACAGACTGTCACTGGCAGTCCCTTATGAAAATGAACCATGGTTTTAGTAAAGTGACCATAGTTCAACTGTAGTATTTATAGATTTGAATCATGTGTAAACAAAAAAACATATTTGAACCATGTGTAAACAAAAATATAACCTAATAAGTTACAATTAAGGCGTATTGCTACTTATTACATTTTAAACTGGGTAACTAGTAATCTGTAGCCTTCCCAGCACTGGATATCACATCACACTGACACAGCTGTTTGATAGTTCATGTTTAAGAAAAACAGTTTCAGAAACAACTATTTATTTACTTATTTATTGGTATATAAGTGGTACAATAAAGAAATAATAAGTAATCATACATATACAACCAATTTAAATCGTTATTGATCTTAAGTTCATTTTTAAAGTAGACTAATGTAGAACATAAAATAGTGCTGTGCAGCACACACAAATCCTCTCAGAAGAAGCAGTGTTGATGGGTTTCTAAGCTCCTCGTGTGTTTGTCTGTAACAGATAATGGAGTGGATGGTGTGGAAGGTGGAGTTCAGGAAATCCAGTCGGTGAAGACGGAGCAGGAGCCGCTGATCCTCACACAAGCATCACAAGAGAGCTCCAGCACGTGCACAGAGAGCTCCAGCTCCACGCAGCAGAGCGCCGCTCCAGGTCTGACAGACGCTCCGCATCCCACATCAGCCCTCCGGTCAGGAGGAGTGTGTCTTCATCAGGCTTGGAGAAATGCAGCACTACACATCAGTGTCTCACTGCAAGTGAATGGGTGCCGTCAGAATGAGAGTCCAAACAGCTGATAAAAACATCACATGAGTCCATAATCCATAATAAGGCTTCCTCCAGTGAAAAAGTGTTCTGGTGTGAATCAGGAGAGAAATCTGCACAGATCAAGCAGCGTTTAAACGGCTCATTATTGTGATGTTTTTATCAGCTGTTTGGACTCTCATTCTGACGGCACCCAATCACTGCAGAGCATCCATTGCTGAGACACTGATGCAATGACACTTTTCTACTAGGGATGCACCGATGTATCGGCCACCAATATTTATCGGCCAATTTTTGATTATTTTAAAGCCTTTGGCATATCGGAAATAGCATGAAAAGGGCCGATACCGATGCGTTATTAATTAACTGCATGGAGACAATGAGTTGCATGTCTGTTGCATTATCCAACGGTTTTCTCTGGGCAAAATAATGAAATACTTGCCAAAACAAAATAAAATCTGTACAAAATATAGTTTGTCAGACAGCATAGTACGGCCAATGCAAATGTGACGCATCCAACGAGTGAAATGCCCGCTAGGGATGGGCGTATCGATCCGAAGTATCGATATATCGATACTGACGCGAGTATCGAAAGTATCGATACTCAAACCAAAAATATCGATACTAAATATCGACGATACTGCCTTGAAAAATATCGGTATCGTATCGAAAACAAAATAAGTGGTATTGCCCATCCCTAATGCCCGCGCTCAGCTGTAAATTCATCATAGGTAAGTCGCAATGACAATGCCCCGGCGTTAGAGTTTATCCGAGGATACGTCACGAACCGCCAAGCATTAGGCCTACATTTAAGTGAAAATGGATGGCATGTAATATGCAGCTTTTTGTGTGTTTGAAACCAGCAAAAATGGCAGGATAGTGTAGAACACAGATTCACAGAAGTTCACATCACGCACCTGCAGTGCTTCTGTGAATGGAGAAAACAGAATAAAACTAGGCTATATATGCTACATAAAAAGGAATATATAGGCATATACACAAAATATATCTCACTTAAAACATTAACAGATTACCAAAACAAAAGAAAAAATTGTGCTGAGTTTGGATCATTGTAACGCGCTCCTAAGTTCACAGAAAGGAAACCGAGACGGCAGAAAGCCGTTTTATTTATTTTGCAAAAGCTTTACAGTTTTGAATCACCTCGGCGACTCACACGCACACATACAACCTATTTTTGCTAACTTGACATCACAGCCTGTTCATTATCAAAATAAAATACAGTTAAAGAAACATAAAAATTTACACTGCTCAATTTAAATAGTCGTAGTACAGTCCGTTCAGTAGTGCGTTCAGCGTGACCAGCGCCTCACTCTGCTGTTATGTGATAACAGAGTAACAAAACGGAAAAAAAAAAATGTGCTGTGTTTCGGATAATTGTTTCGCACTCCGAAGTTCACGGGAATAAAACGAGATGGCAGAAAGCAGTTTTCTTCATTTTGCAAAAGCTTTACACTTTTGAATGATGTTTTGCTTCTATCTGTGTGACAAACCAGCATTGGTATGACCATAAATTACTGAGTAACAGTTGGGAAAACAACGCAGTGATCGCGTCGGTGCCTCACACGCACATAGGCCTACAACAGATTTTTGCTAATTTGACATCGCAGCCTGTTCATTATCAAAATAAAATACAGTTAAAGAAACATAAAAATTTACACTGCTCAATTTAAATAGTCGTAGTACAGTCCGTTCAGTAGTGCGTTCAGCGTGACCAGCGCCTCACTCTGCTGTTATGTGAAGGATGATGTTTTACATCGAAAGAAAACGCTATACTTTATTATTATTATTATTATTATTATTATTGTTGTAGGCAAAGAAAAAGTTTAAAAAGTAACGTTATTACCTGGTATTTTTTCTACTCAAACCAGAAACAGAAACGCTCAAATACCAATTCTGCTCGCAGTGAACCGATCGATTTTTATTATTATTTTTTTTTTGTTCGTTTTTAACCCGTTTTATGCAATTGACCAATATTGGTATTGGAATCGGCCAATAGTTGTTTGTTAAAATAGGTATCAGCCAAAAAAATAAATAATCCTATCGGTGCATCCCTAATTTCTACAAATCTGATGAAGAAACAAACTCATCCTAATCTCGGATGATATGGTGTTGAGCACATCTTTATTTATGGCTGAACTATTCCTTTAAATATAAACAATGATGCGATACATTAAATATGTCATGTCATGCCTTCTTTTTTTTTTTTAAAGGTTAATTTATAATGTTTGGGAAGTTATAATTTGTGTCGGGTGCATTACCGCGGGAAATAGGGCTGCAGCACCCCCTGGAGTGTAGCCCATGAAAAAATGGGGGTGCAGTGTTAAAAATAAATAAATAAACAATGTTTAACAAAAAAATAAATAAAATTAATTGTATAAATTTGTATATTCATTCAAATTAATTGAAAAAAGTAGCCTAAGCCTACAATGACAAGAAGCAAGGGTTAAACATGAGTTAAGTTGAATCAAATTGACTGTGAAAGTCAACTTAAAAAAATAATTTGTTGCCATTATTTTTTTGATTATATTATTACCTGTAACATGTCTGTGCCATACCCAAATTAAGATTTAACAATACTTTCTACAGACTAGGGATGCAACGAATGTTCTGCAACCGAAACTGTTCAGCCGAAAAGATAAAAAAAAGCTCTTTCGGTGTTCAGCTGAATAAATGAAAAGACTGAATAAATTGTACCGAACAATGATGTGACGCAATCAAATAGAGGCGCGCGCTAATGCAGCGCAATTGAAATCACCAAATGGCCTTAAACAATTAAATACACTGCAGAACGTTATGTGTTCTAATACACGCACGCATTGCATGTGTTCAAACAGCGCTGCACGAGCTCGCTTCGCCAGGGTTCAAAGTCCACAGAGCGAGGGAAATCTGCGCTGAAACAGTGTTACTCGTTAGTTACTCAGTCACATTTTTATGAATTTTTACTAGGCATGTGACAATGTGATACGTGCAACAAACATCTTCCCAAATTCTTAATGAGAATCATTTATAAATCTGCTGTTGTCAACAAAAAGAAGCACTGAGATCTTCCTGTGGGTTTCTGCCAAAATAAAAGCTCAATCAACATTCAAAACGTTAGTATTGTAATTTTACTGTTGTTCTGTAAAATAAAATAAAGTAGGACAATAATAATGATAATAATAATTCCATTTACATTTAGTAATGTTGCAGACTCTTTTATCCAAAGCGACTTACAATTGGGGAATACATAAAGCGATTCTTCTTAAAGAGGCAAACAGACACAGGAAGTGCTTATAATACCAAGTTTCAGGCATTGTTCAAATAAATACAAGCTAGAAAGAGAAGGAATAAATAAAAAAAATAAAAAAAATTTTTTTTAAGATGAAGTCAAGTAGCTTTGAAAGAGATGAGTTCTCAGCTGTCGCTTGAAAATTGTCAGGGATTCAGCATTCCGGATAGGGGTGGGAAGATCGTTCCACCAGCCAGGAACGGTGAACGAGAATGTTCTGGAGAGTGATTTTGAGCCTCTCTGTGATGGTAGCACGAGGCGTCACTCACTAGCGGATCTCAGACTTCTGAAGAATTACAACAGCTATATTAATACATTTATTATAACATTCGCACTTCGTGTTCAAATCTGTAATAGATTTGTATCTGTGGAATATGAAATATTTTCTGTTTTAAAAGAATTCTCTTCTGCTCTGCAAGGCTGCATTTATTTGCTCAGTAAAAAAAATACATGCCTGATTCAAGAAGGGGGTCTCAAAAAAATTATTTTAGTAACTTATTAATTTGAAGTTAAATTGTGCTTTGTTGGTATGTCTGCTAGAATGTTAAGAAATGTTCAGTGTTAAGTAAATATTTTTAAATTGTTGTATTGTAATTGATTTTTACAGTAAAATACAAAATTTGGTATTTAATTTATGCAATGGTGAAAAAAAATTGGCAAAATACATGGGGGAAAAAATGTGAAAAACCGTGTTCGTATTCGGCCCAGTGTTTCATTTTGTTCGGCTTCGGCCAATAATTTTCATTTTGGTGCATCCCTACTACAGACATAGCAAAGAGTCAGCAGAGAAAGAGCGAGAGTATTTACCTCAGCAGCAACAAATCTCACATTCTCACATCTGTAGCACTTATTTTGATCTTTAACGTTAGGTCTTTCCTATTGTTGAAACAAAATAAAATAAATGCTTAAGGTTGATTCAGTATTAGCCTGCTCTTAATGAAAAGCACACACAACATCACCAATGTTACAATGACAAAGTCGCTTACATTAAACATAACATTTTATTAACAGAACGAATAAGACTGATGTACCCACATTGTAACACAAATAAATGAAAGGTTTTTGGGTTTTTCCCTTACTTTAAACGAATGCTTATGCAGCCATAAAATAGTACAATGGCAAATTCACAACATCTAACTTTAATTAACAAAATTAATAAGATGGATATAGCCTTGCATTGTAACTAGGGCTGTGCAAATAATTGAATGCGATTATCATGCGCATCTCGTCAGTAAAGCTGGTTCTGTGATTAGTAGTAAATCTCCATCACGTGCTTTCAGATGGAGCGGCATTTACTACACAGAGCCATAGGTCACTGACAAGCTACGCAATATCGCATGTTAAACGCAACCCCAATATTTGAGACTGGGTGAAAGTGGTGAAGATTTGAGAACTAGAGAGTGACCTGCACTCTGAAAAATTTCAGAGGTTTTCATGCTGATGGTGTGACTGATGTCAATGTGCTGTCTGTCGCTGTCCACTGATCATATGAAGCGTGCAGCTGATAGCAGCCATGTTTTGTTTGTTGCTGTGGTCTCTCTGTTTGCTGCTGAGTTCTCTGTTCTCTCTGTTTGCTGCTGAGTTCTCTGTTCTCTCTGTTTGCTGCTGTGTTCTCTCTGTTTGCTGCTGTTCTCTGTTCTCTCTGTTTGCTGCTGCGTTCTCTGTTCTGTGTTTGCTGCTGTGTTCTCAATGTTTGTTTGCTGCTGTGTTCTCTCTGTTTGCTGCTGTGTTCTCTGTTCTGTGTTTGCTGCTGTGTTCTCTGTTCTGTGTTTGCTGCTGTGTTCTCTCTGTTTGCTGCTGTGGTCTCTGTGTTTGCTGCTGTATTCTCTGTTCTGTGTTTGCTGCTGTGCTCTCTGTGTTTGCTGCTGTGTTCTCTGTTCTGTGTTTGCTGCTGTGTTCTCTGTTCTGTGTTTGCTGCTGTGTTCTCTGTTCTGTGTTTGCTGCTGTGCTCTCTTTGTTTGCTGCTGTGTTCTCTGTTCTGTGTTTGCTGCTGTGATCTCTGTTCTGTGTTTGCTGCTGTGTTCTCTGTTCTGTTTGCTGCTTTGTTCTCAGTGTTTGTTTGCTACTGTGTTCTCTCTGTTTGCTACTGTGTTCTCTCTGTTTGCTACTGTGTTCTCTCTGTTTTCTGTTTGCTACTGTGTTCTCTTTGTTTGCTGCTGTGTTCTCTTTGTTTGCTACTGTGTTCTCTCTGTTTTCTGTTTGCTACTGTGTTCTCTTTGTTTGCTACTGTGTTCTCTTTGTTTGCTGCTGTGCTCTCTTTGTTTGCTGCTGTGTTCTCTGTTCTCTCTGTTTGCTGCTGTGTTCTCTGTTCTCTCTGTTTGCTGCTGTGTTCTCTGTTCTCTCTGTTTGCTGCTGTGTTCTCTGTTCTCTCTGTTTGCTGCTGTGTTCTCTGTTCTCTCTGTTTGCTGCTGTGTTCTCTGTTCTCTCTGTTTGCTGCTGTTCTCTGTTCTCTCTGTTTGCTGCTGTGTTCTCTGTTCTGTGTTTGCTGCTGTGTTCTCTGTTCTGTGTTTGCTGCTGTGTTCTCTGTTCTGTGTTTGCTGCTGTGTTCTCAATGTTTGTTTGCTGCTGTGTTCTCTCTGTTTGCTGCTGTTCTCTCTCTGTTTGCTACTGTGTTCTCTCTGTTTTCTGCTGTGTTCTCTGTTCTGTGTTTGCTGCTGTGTTCTCTGTTCTGTGTTTGCTGCTGTGTTCTCTGTTCTGTTTGCTGCTTTGTTCTCAGTGTTTGTTTGCTGCTGTGTTCTCTCTGTTTGCTGCTGTTCTCTCTGTTTGCTGCTGTATTCTCTGTGTTTGCTGCTGAGTTCTCTGTTCTCTGTGTTTGCTGCTGTGTTCTCTGTTTGCTACTGTGTTCTCTCTGTTTGCTGCTGTGTTCTCTCTGTTTGCTGCTGTGTTCTCTGTTTGCTACTGTGTTCTCTCTGTTTGCTGCTGGTTTGCTGCTGTGTTCTCTCTCTTTTTGCTGCTGTTCTCTCTGTTTGCTGCTGTGTTCTCTCTGTTTGCTGCTGTGTTCTCTCTGTTTGCTACTGTGTTCTCTCTGTTTTCTGCTGTGTTCTCTGTTCTGTGTTTGCTGCTGTGTTCTCTGTTCTGTGTTTGCTGCTTTGTTCTCAGTGTTTGTTTGCTGCTTTGTTCTCAGTGTTTGTTTGCTGCCGTGTTCTCTGTTCTGTGTTTGCTGCTGTGTTCTCTTTTCTGTGTTTGCTGCTGAGTTCTCTGTTCTCTGTGTTTGCTGCTGTGTTCTCTCTGTTTGCTGCTGTGTTCTGTTCTCAGTGTTTGTTTGCTCCTGTGTTTTCAGGCATGCTGAAGCACATACGCTCCTGTTGCGCTGGGCTGCACAGTCAGTATCAGGGCTTTCTGGAGAGCCTGCAGCAGACGCAGAACGCCTGGCTGGAGCAGCAGCTGGAGCAGAGTCACGTCCGAGAGGAGCGTCTGGTGGCCCGAGTGCTGGCTGAACACACCCGATCCATGGAGGCTTTGGTCAACCAGCTGTTCGCAGGCTTGAGGAGCCTCCTGCCCCCGTCCTATCCCCATCCCCAGACGTCAGCCCTGCAGAGCAGCAGTCCTGAATCCTGAATCACACACCAGACTCAAGGAGACCTCAACACCTCACATGCACTCTTCATCATGAGGCTTTCTCAGAGTTCACATTCAGCGGCCCTGGACTGGTTTGTTAAAGATAGTGATAACTAGGGATGGGCAAATCGATCCTAAAGTATCGATATATCGATATTGATGCAAATATCGGAAGTATCGATACTCAAATTAAAAATATCGATACTAAGGTGTGTTTTATTTACCAGTGATTTTGTTTTAGTTCAACTATAGTATTTGTAGATTTCCACTACAGTAAACTAGTGTTGGCAAAAGTACTGACCGCGATACCGTTCAGTACTGAAATTTAAAAAAACGTCCATTTCCTGCTAAGCTTTTAGCGCTGTTGAGCAGCTTCTTAAACAGTGCAGATTGGTCATTGTGTTCATGTGCTCAACACGCACGGTTTAAGAATCTTCTCAACAGCGCTCAAATCTTAGCGGAAAATGGACGTTTTTACAATTTCAGTACCGAATGGTATCGCGGTCAGTACTTTTGACAACACTATAGTAAACATATTTTAACCATGTGTAATAGGGATGGGCGATATGGGCTTAAAAATATATCACGATAATTTCTGGTATTTATTGCGATAACGATATCAATGACAATAATTCAGGGCATTATATGCATCCATGACAAAAAAAATTATAATCCCGTTTTTTTAGAGAAAAGTATTGTCTTTTCTATTTTTACCCCAAATAGGGTGTTAGCATTACTGAGTACACACGTAATGTAATTAGGGTTGGGTATCATTTGAATTTTATCGATTCCTATTCTTTTCTATTCCCAGTTTCGATTCCAATGTGATTAAATAATGATATCAAACATTTATCCTGTGTCTCTTATTTGCAAACCATTTATTGGAGCTGAATACCATGAACAAAAATCAACAGGCTACATAAAAATCTTTAAGAGCTGTTTGTGTGCAAAATAGAGCTGCATGATTCTAGATAAATTGAGTTTTTTTTCCCCAATGGAAGTTGTGGTTTTCTCATGATTCTAAAGAAAAAAACATTAGACAACTAAACAAAGTTACATGTAATTTATGAATGAATGATTCAATGACTCACTCAAGATGTACTTGATTCATTACTGGATGAATCAGCGTTCTTGAACGACTCTCTTGTATGATTCAAAGACAAATACATTTTAACAGCCCCTTTTCGCCACCTACTGGCGTAACAGTGCAATCGATAAATCTTCATTTGAAGTGTCAAATTACTCTCAAAAGGTGATTTACTCTATTTTAATCGCTACTGTATACAGAGTTTATATCTGAACTATAAACTTTTATCCCAGCACTTCTGTGATTTGAATGTTACTGTGAAGCTGTTTCATTCATGACAGACAGCTGCTCTCTTTAGGTCAGCGGCAGTGCGAACGCAAATTTAAATGTTCAAATCACACTGGTGTGATCATACGCAGCACAGACGAACCAACAAGTGATCACAACATTGATCGCACACGTCAAAGGTTGAGGAATGAAACAGACGAATCATTGTAATTTAGGAATAGAATCACGTTCATGTTCAGTTTCAGGTTTGCATCCTCAAGGCGCTTTAAGACAACCTTCAGACGTCTATCATGTTCCTCTTTAGTTGCACCGTAACCGATTATATCATCCAAGTAGCATTGACAACCTGGCAGATCTCCTAAGAGTGTGTGCATCATTTTTTGGAATGCAGCGGGTGCCGAGGCGGGTAAGGAGGAACGAGGAGGAACCCACGTAAAGCGGTACAGTCCTTCATGAGAAAGGAACGCAGTCAGGTTTCTGCTTTCTACAGCTAGGGGCAACTGATGATAAGCACTTTGTAAGTCAATCTGTGAATATACTGTAGCGCCTTTCAACTCTGCGAACAGTTCTTCCATATGCAGCAGTGGGTGTGAATCCACAATAATGCTTTTATTTGGCTCACGTAAGTCCACGCACATACAGATTCCTGCTTGTTTCTTTTTTGTAACCACTAATGGTGAAACCCAGGGGCTCGCATCTATAGGCTGTGACTGTGGAAGAACTGACACACTTGAACCCGTGTCCACCAACAGTTTCACATTGTGGGAACAACCTTGTGATATGCCAACTTCACAGTAAATCTTATCATCCACTGAAGCATTCAAATTAAGCACTCATTTCTGGCACAGAAATTTCTTGCATGGTTTTCATTTTCGATTGACATACTTTTGCAAAGTGCCCACGTTTTTTGCATTTATTACAAATTGCAGATGTAGCAGGACGGTTTCTATCATTAGCTAAGTGATTACGTGATCCACAGCGGTAGCAATGTTGAGTTGGTTTTAGTGCTTTGGAATCTTTGCGTCTTTTGAATTGTTCGGTGCGTGTTTGTGACGTTTCCATCGACCTTTATTTGCCCGAAACAGCTTGCACAGCACTTTGAGATTGACTTCCGCTTGCGTCCTTACCAGAGAAAAGTGAAGCATTACGCACAGCAGACTCAACTTGACACGCCAAATTCACCGCTTTCTCCAGAGTGAGCTGATCTTCCAGCAATAACCTGTCTCGCACCGCCGGCAGCCAGGCTTGTTCCACCAGCTGATCATGCAGCATTTCTTTCTCCTTGGCACCATATTGACACTGCGCTGCCAACTCTCGTAGTGCGGAAATGTACTGTGGCACAGTCTCGTCATTTCTTTGTGATCTTTGGCAAAACTTATGTCGGCAAGCAACTACGTTGAATTTGGGAAAGAAATGTTTCGCAAGTGCTGCCATTGCATCATCAAACGTTTTACCTGTGTCTGGTAATGTGTAGAAAAGTCTTTGCCCTATGGTTTCCAGGCAGTGTAGTAAAGTTGCACGTCGTCTTGCATCCGACCACAAGCTCCCCGAAGCATTTATTACTATCAAGTAGTTTGAGAAAATCTTTTGGCACGTAGCAAAAGGAATTGGTGGCTCGCCAACATCTTGTAAGAACAGTGCTGGGGCAGGAGCAGTTGCCATCGTCGTCGCCAATATGTAATATCCCTTTTGTTTTAGAAAGAATCACATGGACACTGAATCAGATTTCTCATCACAACTCACTCTATTCCTCGTTCTTTTTAGGCGCAACATCTGTACAACCTACAACACCATCTACTGGACACAACAGGAACAGGACTGGACAACTAGTTGTCTGTCACATTCACAAGAGAGCTGCTCTGCTGCACAAGCGTGCGTCTAATGTGTGCTGCGTGTTTTAATTTGTGGTTTAGGTAACTTACAGTGACGGAGAAATGAGCTGTGTCACCTGAAAGTTTCAGTTCCCTTTCGAACGGTCTCTCCTGTTGCGTGGAAACGCATATGGGGAAAACTCCTGTATTACTCTGTACTGAAGCCTGATTTGTTTGTGTAGCTGCACAAACCAATGGAGCTTTAGCCCACCAGAAAGGCCGCCATTTATCAGACCATTCTCCTTCAGCGACGATGATAATCTCTTCACTAACTCTGCAATCAAGAAGCTGAAGAAGGAAGAAGCTCAGCCTGCAGCTCGCCACCGTAGAAGAGCCCCAGCAGAGGAAGAAGCGAGAAGCCGTGCGCTCACTCAGAGCATGAGTCTCACTCTTCTCCGCTCGCTTATCACCACCTTCAATGAAGGCAGCCCCGCTCTCCCGTTTCTCCTCTGCCTATAGCCTTAGTAATCCTGAAGACATTGATTAGCTCAGGTGTTCAGGTGTTCAGGTGTGTTTGATTAGGGGTGGAGCTGAACTCTGCAGGACTGCGGCTCTCTAGGACCGAACTTGCCTACCTGCTCTAGGCGGATCGGCGTAGAATGCCATCACCAATGATTCTTATCACTGACAGCGTCGCGTTTGTGTGTGCGTAACGGAGGCTGCGCTCACTGAGACAGACTGCTTTGAAAAGCACGAGACTGTCCCTGCTTTGCTCGCAGATCCCTTTCTTCTCCCGCTCTCACGTTCCTCACCTCCTAGTTACCTCGGAGGAAGAAACAATGAACTCGCGGGATGAGCGATCAGGCTTGAGTGATTTTATGCCGGCACACAGAGTCCCGCGTGCTTCACTCATAGCACGGAGTAGAATGCTGTCAAAGCATTTAGTCTAACAAAGCATGTTTGAGAGGAAAAGGAAGGGATCAGTCCTCGCTGAGGATGGAAGCCCCTCAAATGGCGCTTTTCCACTGCATGGTACGGCACGGTACGGCTCGGTACGGTTCACTTTTGGGGGGTTTTCCACTGGGTACAGTACCTGGTACCTGGTACTTTTTTTAGTACCACTTCGGTTGGGGTTCCAAGTGAACCGTACCGTTACCAAAACGTGACGTGTAAACTCTGCTGATCACGGATTGGCCGGAGAGAATCGTCACTACCTGCGTCACTGAACTTGCGACACAAACACAAAAGAACCGCTAGATTTAAATCAGCACAGCCAGCGAAAGATCAAACGCAACTGTTTGGAACGAGCGCACCTTTTTTTTAACAACCAAAAAGTTTTGTTGTCTGTTGCGGAAGTACAGACGTTCCTCTCGTTGATAGCAGAGGAGCGGATCCAGCGAGAGCTTGATGGGGCGACGCGAAATGAAAGTTTTTTTTTAGGAGTCGTGGTAGTAGAGGCGGCGCAACTATAACGACATGTGAATAATCCCGCCCACTCTAAAGCGGTACTGAACTGCAGTGGAAACGCAAACCGTGCCGTGCCGAACTGAGCCGTACCGAGCCGAGTCGTACCACGCAGTGGAAAAGCGTCAAAAGTAAGCTTGTCCTCGCTCTCCATCCCTCCGTTCAACACCTGAGCGATGGATGTTCTATTCAAGCTGGGCACGTCCTTTTCATTAGCATGTGCCAAGCAAACTACTGCTGTGATAGCAGACCCACAAGATCAATTCTTATCTCACATCTGCGAATGCAAGTTCCCCACCCACATTCGGTGAACTTCTGTTTGACAAAATGGAGCCTCTTGCCACCTGGTTTATGGCCTGGCAGCCATTTCCGGTGTTTCAAGTTGGCTTCTAAATACAGTAAACAAGGTTTCTCACTCTAGTTCGCTCGCAGGCCCCCTCGTTTCAGAGGTATTATCCAGACTTTGATACGGGACAACGAAGCGCATGTTCTCCAGTCCGAAACACAAGCACTGCTTGCAAAAGCTGCTGTGTAACCGGTACCTCTAGCTAACAGCAAGTTAGGCTTTTTCAGCCACTAC